GCCCCGGAACTCTGCAAAATCCGCAAAAAGAGAACGTGGATTCGAGCAGGAAATAGGATAGGTAACCCGAGCGATTCGCATTTCTGCTTGTTGGCTTCATCAGGCCCGAAATGCGGATTTTGCCCATTATTTTCCTATTTTTTGTTGTATACCTTTCTCCTAATGATCATTTTCTATATATATATAACTTGAGACGTGGTCATTGTCGTCTAGACCAGTTAGGTGAAAAATTAAAGCTTCCGCCTTTTGTTGGGTACTTCGACAAAATTTAAGCAAAGAGGACTCTTTATACTTTTTTAATTCTCTCTAGCTTTCAATGGACTTTGCCATCATCATCAGGAGCTGCAATTACAATGATAACAGTAGCAACAAAAGTGTAAAATGAATTTAAATTGACTCAACTTACAGCAGTATGTGAGGATGTTGCTAATTGTTGTTTACGTATAGGATGAGGGAAACGTCCAGTAACATGGTGAGAGCTGGATAGATGGTGCAATGGTCAAAATTATATAAAATATGACAAGAACAAGTTAAAAACAGATTAAAAATTATTTAAAAAACATTAGAGCATTACATCGTGAAGCCACTTGATGATTGCACAAAATGGTGGTCATGGAATAATGAGTGAGATGAACCCTTTGACAGAAGGCCGAAGGTTGTCAATGTCTGTGTTGAAAGATGGAACGAATTGTGGGCGTGTGCCAAACGTTGCCAAATCACTTCAATTTCTTACATAACATTCTGAAAATCACATCATCTGAAAGCTAGAGAGAATTAAAAAAGTATAAAGAGCCCTCTTTGCTTAAATTTTGTCGAAGTACCCAACAAAAGGCGGAAGCTTTAATTTTTCACCTATATATATATATATATATATATAAATAAAACAGGGAAAATTTACAGATATCTGTATGTATAAAGGCTGCGTAAACGTGAATAGGTTTTTGCGTCAGATTTTTTACACGCTCTGTGAATATTAGTTTAATCTCAACGTCTACATCCAATACTTTAGTGATCTTGGTGATCTCGAGCAGCTTATTATCTATGTCCACATTCAAGCGCGAAACAAAGTCGTTTCTCCTGCCCTCAGAACATCTTATCATCTTAGATTTTCCGGGCTTATGCTGAGGTTGTGATCTGCTGAATATTTGCATGAAATACTGATCGATGACCTTCAAAAGCACACATAGTGACCAATTGAGCTCTGATTCGGGCTTAGTAACCAGAGCAGCTTGAACGTGACGCGGTTTCGCTCAACTGTTTTTGACAATTCAGCGATGGGAACGGCATATTGGACATTGTTCGCTTACTTTTTTTACTCTCCACAGCTACAGTCCTGTACGCACGTGATTAGGTATCAAATAACCGTCTACCGGACAGACGCATTTACGAGGGTTGTCTCAAAAATGATATTCCCAACGCTGTACCTGTGCCGCGCGTGATGCTAGACGAAATTTGGCAACGCCGTCGTGTTTGTCGGCCGTCCCACCACCGACCCCAACAAGAAGCGCCTATTAGCGAAGCTCAGTACCGGGTAGACAGCCATGCGCAATGGAGCCCTTGATCACCGTCACCGCCAGGTGCGGTCACCCGATTTTTCTCGATCTCCCAGAAAGTAGTGGCTAGAAGATCGCCATATCACGATCCGGGAACAGCCGGTTGAAATTCTTGAGGCTTCTGAAAGAGCTGAGAAGTGCAATCCAAAATCGTCGGGAAAACTCACTAAAGTGTAAGATCGTACCACAACCACGTTTAAAAAAAGCGTAGATAAAAAGGATACTATGAAAAAAATAGCTTAAAACCCATTTATACCTAATGTACTATGAATAGTACAGGCTAAACTTGTTTGTTCCTGTAAGTATCTGTACGATTGGGTTTCATTTTGTATTTGATAAGTTTTTTCTTCGCCAGCTTTGTTTGTAAGCTTGACTGAAAAGGCATATGTGGTACAGGAACAATTCGTGAAAATCGTATACCCATGTCTTCTTTGAATAAATTCAAAACTTATGAAAAAGGAACAACGTGGAGTGTTTAATTATACCAAAGTAAAAGATAAATACTTAATTTTTGTAAAATGGAATGACAACAATATTGTAACTTTTCGGTCTACAGCGATTGGAATTGAACCAGTAAATTCAGTAAAGCGGTATTCTCAAAAAGAAAAAAGTTTGTGTATGTAGATCAGCCCCAAGTTGTCAAGCTGTATAATAAATGTATGGGCAGGGTGGATAGGTCAGGCCAGAATAAAGCTCAATACAGAGTACAAATCTGAGGCAAAAAATGGTATTTCTCGTTGATCTCTAAATGTGTAGATATGGCCCTGACAATCGCCTGGCATATTTATAAAACGAGAGGAAATAACGTGGATCAATTACAGTTTAAAAGAAGTGTAGCTACAACTATCTTGACACAAAATAAGAAGACTTATACGTACCAGCAAGGTAAATCAAGAAATTTTGGTGACATAAGGTATGATCGCTTAGATCATCTAGTCATTCCACAAGGCAAATAAACAAGGTGTGTACACTGTCATGAGCGCGCGACTACTAGATGTAGAAAATGTGATGTCGGCCTTCACGTGAAATGTTTTGTTCAATATCATACTCTTTAAAATTTGCAATTTTGATGTGTTTCAAAATATTTGTACTATTTTCAATATTTTTTTATTATTATTCTTATAGCTACCTTTATTCCTAATGTACATCCTAAAAAACTGACTGTTTATGTATTTTTTTTAGAATAAATTAAAAATACCTCCAAAGTGTCGTCTTTTAATAAGGTTTTTTAAAAAATAATAAAAAAACGTTTTTGCAACTCTTTAGGCATAAATGGGTAATAACAACGTTCCCAATGGTGAATTCGTTTGTTCAAATAAAAAATTCCTTCGGCCTGAAAAAAATATGGGAACTTTATTTTTCAAACATCCCTCGTACTGAAATACAGCAACTTAATAGAGTGGAAACGATATATCTTGTTAGGCTTAGGTATCATATTTTGTTCTATCTACACGTATACATAGAAACAGTAGCTGTGCAAGAAGTTCGCCGAGTAAATTGGCCGGGATATAATGTACAAAATGATTCAGCTGCCTACATTTCAGGGTAAACGTATTTTGTCGTTTGTAGATAGATGTAGGTTGTGAAAGTGTAAAAATTTATGGTGTTAAGATAGAGGCGTCCACAGGGTATGAGCGAATTTTCCATGCGTTTTATTCAGTTCAAACTATTTATGAATTATTAATATTTGGTATAAAAATATACTAAGTGACATATAAATGCGAACACCCAGTTTAAATGGTTTTATTTTGATAAAATTTTGTATAAGTACTTAATGAAGCATAATAAGTAAATGATAAAAATTTCAAAATGATTGCACTGCTTTAAAGCCCTTTGACCTTTAATAATGTGTGGATGGACCCTGATATGCTACGCATTCTCCAACGCGCCTAGGCATGCTCTGATCAGGTGGTCATGTCCTCCTGTGGTATCTCATTCCAGGCAACCACCAACTCCTCTCGAAGTGCTTCTAGAGTCTGAGGAGGACGTTGCAAATTGAGCAATCTCCTACCCATCATATCCCACACGTGCTTAATTGGGGATAAGTCGGGAGATCTTGGTGGCCATGGTAACAATGTGACATCATTATGTTGAAAGATGTCTATTGTGACTCTGGCAACATGTGGTCGGGCATTATCTTGTTGGAAAGTTGGATCTGCCAGGGTGTCAAGATAGGGTAAAAGATGGGGTTCTAGAACTTCGTGGATATAACGCTGCGCGTTCATGTTACCTCTGATGAAGATTAAAGGTGACCTGGAACCATAAGCTATAGCACCCCAAACCATAACTCCAACAGTGTGATGAACATGTCTTTCAACAAAAAACTGTGGATTCCTCCTTTCACCACGTCGCCTTCTAACCCTGGCACGACCATCGTGCATGCCTAAACAAAATCAAGACTCGTCACTAAAGACAATACTGTTCCATTCCTGATCCCAGAGTGACCGTTGTCTGCACCACTCAAGGCGATTACGTCGGTGTTCTCGAGTTAGAGGGAGGACCCAGTGTGGCCGGTATAAAAACAAGCCAAAACTTCTCATTCGTCGGTAAACACTTCGCATGCCAATAGGTCTTCCGTGTTCTGCAAACCATTTATTTGCAATGGACCTGGTAGTGGAGAAGCGGTCCCTGAAGGCCAATAATTTTAGGCGGCGATCTTCACGGTCTGTTGTTCTACGGCGGCGTCCAGTGCCCCTTGCTCTTAGCGTAGGTTCTTCTCGAAGCCATGCCTGACAACACCTAACCACAGTGTCTACACTTCTTTGCACTCTAACTGCAATTGCCAGAAAAGAAAGTCCAGCTTCCCGAAGTCCCACTATACGGCCCCTATCAAACTCACTAAGTTGACGAAATCGTACAGGTCTCCGTACTCTAGGCATCGTAACCGATCGTAAATGATGTCAAGAACCAAAATCCGCCAACGTTGATTCTTTACTGCGGCTGAAATATTCATTTTTAGAGCGTTAGTGAATTAAAAGAAAAGCAGTATAAAAACCGGAATGTCCAACTGATAAGGCTGAAAATTTGTTCACTTGTTATTTACAGTAAGATAAATACATTCACCAACTTTTATTAAAATAAATCCATTTAAACTGGGTGTTCGGATTTATATGTCACTTAGTATAAATTGAACCTCTTCAATAACAAAGAACACGATTATCAGACCCGATCTACAGATCTGTTGATACCCCCTTAACATCGTACTGCAGCATATCAGCAATCTTTGACTTATATGGGTCATAAAATATTCAAATATTCAATAATCTGAAAGAAGGTATTCAAAAAGCACCAACATTATGCAGTCTCAAAAGTCTGTTGAAATAATTTCTAACAGATAAGTCTTTATGCCTTGAAGCTGAGTTTTAACCTATACTGAATTTCTTTTTATTTTTGATTTGTCTTTGGCTATTTAACAAAGATATAAATGTATTATTATTACTTTTACAGATTTGATTAGAAACTATAAGCTAACAATCAAGAACAGGACCGATGAGGAGTCAGATTGCGATCCTATAGTTAGTTCAGCGTCTTCTGCTTATGACTATGGGTAAGACATATTGTTTAGATGTGTTTGCAAAGACTTTAACGCTATTTTTGAGGCTTATGCACGAGGAAAGTGTTTTGCTGATTTCAAAACCTATAAACTAATTTAAATAATTAGTGGTTAGGATATATTGGGTGCTCCAGCATAATTTACTTTTCTCAAAATTGTATAAATCAGATCATTTTTGTTTCCACTTCCAAGCAGCGTTTAGTGCATGTATTCGGCTTTGATTGGACAAACCAGATCGCACTTTTTTGATAATTAGCATCTTTCGAACAGCAAAATAGATATCAAAACTGAAACACTGTTTACAGAGCTTGCAATTCGGGTATATTTGGACATGACTTCAGTACAGCGAGCGAGGACGAAACTGTCAAGACTACCGTTACCGTATCAAGATATCCCAGTCAAGATGCAAATAGGTACGTATATCAACGATACAATTTTTAAGATTTTTACAATTTTTACGGTTTTTACGATTTTTTTGATTTTTTTCGATTTGTAAGATTTTACGGCTTTTACAATTTATACGATTTTACAGTTTGTACGATTCTTACGATTTTCACAATTTTTACAATCTTTACGGTATTTAAGATTTTTACGATTTTTACAATTCTTATGATTTTCACGATTTTTACGATTTTTACGGTTTTTACGATTTTTACGATTTTTAAGATTGTCGCGATTTTTATGATTTTTACGATTTTTTACGATTTTACGTTTTTTGCAATTTTTACGATTTTTATGATTTTTACAATATATACGATTTTTACGATTCTTACAGTTTTTATGATTTTTATGATTTTTACGATCGTTACGATTTTTACGATTTTACGATTTTTACGATTTTTACGATTTTTACGATTTTTACGATTTTTACGATTTTTACGATTTTTACGTTTTTTACAATTTTTACGATTTTCATGATTTTTACAATTTTTACGATTTTTACGGTATTTAAGATTTTTACGATTTTTACAATTTTTATGATTTTCACGATTTTTACGATTTTACGATTTTTACGGTTTTTACGATTTTTACGATTTTTAAGATTGTCGCGATTTTTATGATTTTTACGATTTTTTACGATTTTTACGTTTTTTGCAATTTTTACGATTTTTATGATTTTTACAATATTTACGATTTTTACGATTCTTACAGTTTTTATGATTTTTATGATTTTTACGATTGTTACGATTTTTACGATTTTAATGATTTTTACGATTTTTACGATTTTTACGATTTTTACGTTTTTTACAATTTTGACGATTTTTATGATTTTTACAGTTTTTACGATTTTTACGATTCTTACAGTTTTTATGATTTTTACGATTTTTACGATTTTTTACGATTTTTACGATTTTTAGGATATTTAAGAATTTTTAAAGCTTATAGTTTGAAAAGTACTTAAATTTTTTATATATTTCCTTATGAGACCTTAAAATAGGCCAGCTCTTTTTATAGAGTAATCCATTTCTGACCTTTGTAGACATACTGGCTTTGTCAATATTTCTATGCAGTAGGCAAAATATTCATTGCAGGACTTGATAACTTCATAATTTGATCAGTAGGTATCTATATTTTCAGGCAAGTATTAACGTCGTTTGTAAATGTGTATGAGAAGCTAAAAGGCGTGACTAGTGCGAATTTAGGTGAAAGATTCAACAAAATTGCAGAGCTAGGAAGAAATAAGTTTGAAGATACTTTTTTGGTAAGTTAAAATTTACGGCAACTGCTATATATACTAAGTGACATATAAATCCGAACACCCAGTTTAAATGGTTTTATTTTAATAAAATTTTGTATAAGTACTTAATGAAGCATAATAAGTAAATGATAAAAATTTCAAAATGATTGCACTGCTTTAAAGCCCTTTGACCTTTAATAATGTGTGGATGCACCCTGATGTGCTACGCATTCTCCAACGCGCCTAGGCATGCTTCTGATCAGGTGGTCAATGTCCTCCTGTGGTATCTCATTCCAGGCAACCACCAACTCCTCTCGAAGTGCTTCTAGAGTCTGAGGAGGACGTTGCAAATTGAGCAATCTCCTACCCATCATATCCCACACGTGCTCAATTGGGGATAAGTCGGGAGATCTTGGTGGCCATGGTAACAATGTGACATTATGTTGAAAGAAGTCTATTTTGACTCTTGCAACATGTGGTCGGGCATTATCTTGTTGGAAAGTTGGATCTGTCAGGGTGTCAAGATAGGGTAAACGATGGGGTTCTAGAATTTCGTGGATATAACGCTGCGCGTTCATGTTACCTCTGATGAAGATTAAAGGTGACCTGGAACCATAAGCTATAGCACCCCAAACCATAACTCCAACAGTGTGATGAACATGTCTTTCAACAAAAAACTGTGGATTCCTCCTTTCACCACGTCGCCTTCTAACCCTGGCACGACCATCGTGCATGCCTAAACGAAATCGAGCCTCGTCACTAAAGACAATACTGTTCCATTCCTGATCCCAGAGTGACCGTTGTCTGCACCACTCAAGGCGATTACGTCGGTGTTCTCGAGTTAAAGGGAGGACCCAGTGTGGCCGGTATGAAAACAAGCCAAAACTTCTCATTCGTCGGTAAACACTTCGCATGCCAATAGGTCTTCCGTGTTCTGCAAACCATTTATTTGCAATGGACCTGGTAGTGGAGAAACGGTCCCTTAAGGCCAATAATCTTAGGCGGCGATCTTCACGGTCTGTTGTTCTACGGCGGCGTCCAGTGCCCCTTGCTCTTTGGGTACGGCCTTCTCGAAGCCATGCCTGACAACACCTAAACACAGTGTACACTTCTTTGCACTCTAACTACAATTGCCCGAAAAGAAAGTCCAGCTTCCCGAAGTTCCACTATACGGCCCCTATCAAACTCACTAAGTTGACGAAATCGTACAGGTCTCCGTACTCTAGGTATCGTAACCGATCGTAAGGGATGTCAAGAACCAAAATCCGCCAACGTTGATTCTTTACTGCGGCTGAAATATTCATTTTTAGAGCGTTAGTGAATTAAAAAAAAGCAGTATAAAAACCGGAATGTCCAACTGATAAGGCTGAAAATTTTTTCACTTGTTATTTACAGTAAGATAAATACATTCACTAACTTTTATTAAAATAAAACCATTTAAACTGGGTGTTCGGATTTCTATGTGACTTAGTATATTTTGTTTTAATTATATTTCAACAATACTTCAGGAAATTCAAATTGACACATTCATAACTGAGGCCGAATAATGTAAAAATGTTTAATACAATTATTAGCAATAGTAACTTTATTATTAATCATGTACATACATTTATTGTATATGCACTTCGGAGCTGCAGAGTGTATGCGTAAATATGTTTATATTTTTTGATAGTAACATTACATCAACTTTAGATCATAATAACCGAGATTGAATAAATACGTTTTATTTACTGCAATTGTTCAGTTAATTGTTATCATATGCATAATCCAGCCTAAAGCGACTGCATTTAAATTTATCTGCTTCACAGTGTGATTCATTTGTTGTAGATAGGGATCGAAACCAGTGGCAAGGCCAGCAGTTGGGAGACCTTGCACAATTTTCCAATATGTCAACAGGAAGAACACACTACACACTCTATAGTTACAATGTAAGTGAATCATCATACAACATTTGACTTGAGTTAGGGCTAACCGGAAAGGATTTCTTCCACCGACTATAAAAATATGGACCTCTTGATTCTTTTATAAAATCGAAAATAAGTCGTTGCCTACAGTATATTCAGATAAGAGATAGACCGGATGTAAACAAAAGGTTCGGGTGATTTTCACGCTAACGCCGCCGTCTCGACGTAAAACAGGAGCCCTCATTGGTCAATTCGCAATTAAATGCCTATGCCGAGCGGCAGAGCAGTCGTATCAAGGCAGAGTCACATTCAGGTTCAGACGTGTTACGTATGTCGTGTGCATCATTGCAATTTGATATTTCTTTGGACGTTTTCGTTTGTTATCTTATTAAGTTGTTGAGTTTGTCGTTGTTATTGTTATACCTTGTTATTGATTGTTATTGTTATCAACTGCTTGCGCAAAATGCCCAGTAGTACAGATACTGCCGATGTAGTTGTAAACTCCTGTAGTCCACCTAGGAAACGCTCTAAAAAAAGACACCTGAGTGCAGAAATGAAAGAGGTCATTTTGAATATATATAAGATCGAGCGCGAGGAGAACGAGGCATCAACCATCAAAGAAATTGTTGTGAAGGTTTCTCACAAAGTTGGGGTGCCTCGCGCATCAGTGTTTAATGTGTTAAGACAATACAAAAAAATCACACCTTTTCTGAGCCAATGACCAGTAAACATCGCAAAAGTATTGTTAAATCATTGGATGAAGCTGATAAGCATGCGATTAGGAGGAAAGTGCATGAATTCTTCTTTAGGAATGAAATACCTACTATAGATAAAGTACTGCAGGAGGTAAATGGAGATACAACGTTGCCAAATTTCAAACGATCAACTTTCCATGCGTTACTGAAGCATTTAAATTTCAATTTAAAATGGAAAAAACGGGGTCGTAATAGTTTACTACTGGATAGAGAAGAAATTGTGCTATGGAGGAGGGATTATTTAACAAAAATTGGGAAATATAGAAATCAAAACAGGAAGATTTATTACCTTGATGAAACGTGGGTAAACGCAGGACACACTACAAGTAAAGTATGGGTTGATGATTCTGTAACTTCATCCAGGAGGGCCTTTCTAGATGGACTGTCCGCCGGATTAAAAAATCCAGCAGGTAAATACGAGTAATAGACAACAATCGGATGTTTTTCATACCTTGGGAACAAGGTTCTAAACATTAATTCCAGGGGGCAGATAAAACATATTACAAGTAACAAAACTTTTATAACTTTCGATAAAATGCGTGGATGTTTTATTGTCATTTTCATTTGTTAGAACTTTTTTAAGCCATGTTTTTATGTGTTTTCGATATTTCAATAATTTTTTGATATAATCTTAAAATATGTCGAATATTATAAACTTAAAAAAAGTTACTAAGTTTTATATTGTGTACCGTTCCTAATATTTCTAATCATTTTAATTCATACTTTGAGCTTTATAAAGTTATAATTTGTTAATATTAATATTTGCGCGTATTTCAGGTTCCTGATAATTCATTTTTTAAAGGTTTATAACTTTAAATTAAATTGTGAAGCGCTGAGTAATCATACGACGTTCAATATTCTTTCTTTCAATATGACTAAATAATCCCAATTATAGCAATCTGATACTCATGTCTCAATGTTTTTTCGCTGAATGTGATGAAAACATTTGAAAAAGGTTCACTTATTGAAATAAATCTACACCAGTTAGTATTTAGTAGTTAGTAAAAATACGCCATTGACGAAATGGCAGCAAGTCAAAATAAAACTGTGCTCCGTTTACCTCCATACGATTGCGAGCTCAATCCCATTGAGCTCATATGGGCAGAGGTTAAAAATTATATAGCTAAGCACAATACAACTTTTACATTTTGTGACCTCAAAGGACTTTTCAAAGAAGCACTAGAATTAATAACAGCGCAAAAATGGGAAAACTGTATTAAGCACGTGAAAGACAAAGTTGAAAAGAGAATGTGGGAACTGGACAATATTTTAGAGGAACAAGTCGAGCCATTCATTATTGACGTTGGTGCTTCAGGCAGTAGCGATGATGAAAGCTCATCAAGCTCATCTTTCCAATAAAAGATGTCGTTCATCAAATTCGGTAAGTTATAAGTAATTATAAAGCTACTGTATTTTTTAATTAATTATTGACATTTTTGAACCCATTTTGGCAAAACCTATTCAAGAATCTACTTTCTGACAATGTTCAACCATGCACATTTTTTTACGTTTTGAACGTTTTAATTTGGTTACATATTTACCTAGAAATCAAAAAATATACTAATCAATATTCTAAAAGCAATTTTAAGAGATATACGATTATTTTTAATTTAGGCTAATTTAAACGCCATTTTGAGATTATATTCGACTGTATTTCACCAAACATCAGGCGGCATCCGAAGCTGGAAATCGAAGCGAAAATTTTGAAACCCTTATGTATATTTACATCATTATATATTTCTTACCCCACCCCCACATGATCCTATATCCATCACCAATCGTATACACATCGAATTGTGCTAATTTACTACAAAGTTACGCAAAGCAGCATCTACTATCTAAAATATGTACTGCGTGACTCTTAATACGTCCCTGCCGAATGTTACAGCGTTCGATGATCACGTGGTCTTGTTAATGTCCGGTCTATCTCTTATCTGAATATACTGTACATGTTGATGGGCCAGAGGGAAGTGCGGGTATAAACGAAACCTGAAAACGGCCCACTTTGGGCGTTTTTTGGATGTTATATGACATGTTATTCAGATGGATTTCTTCAAGGTCATGCTGATCATGTTTTGCGGTCTGAACATCAACGGATAAATTCTTGGATTATCTGTCAAAACTCAGGGCTGCCAACCAAACAGCAAAGTCTTGCTAGAAACATTTTTTGAGCTTCTATGCCTATTGTGGTTTTAATTTTGAGGCAAATCTCATAACCAGAAACCATATTGTTGAATACAAATAAATAATTAGAGTTCTGTACTTGAATTGAACAGTTGTTCAATATAAAGAAAATGAAAACAATATTTACACCATACGAGGGATGTCTCTTAAGTTTTGCATATGGAAATAAAACATGTAAATTTTTTGGAATTGAGGTCTTTGAGATCTTCAAGAACGCCTCAATCTCGCGATATGTCACATGTCTATCTTCAATGATGAGTTTGCGCACAGCATCGACGTTTTCTTGGGTGACTGCCGTTTTTGGCGCACCCACCCTGGGATCGTCGCTAAGTCTCACCTGTTCACGTTTGAATTCTCTAAACCAACGGGAAATTGTCGACTGATGTGGCGCTTCGTTGCCGAAAACACACAGTAACTCAGCAAGGCATTCTTGTTGCGATAATTGTCTCTGAAAGTTGTAATAAATTATGGAGCGAAAATGTTCCATTTTTCTAATGGTTTAGTGACACTCAAAAATTCACTGTAGTGAGAACACTGCACGTATTGTTGTGAAACTTTGAATTTAAGTTTACTAAAGAGTGCGGTTAAGATACGTTCGATCCGCGCGGCCTACTATGTTTCTATATGCAAAACTTAAAAGACATCCCTCGTAGAAGTTGACGTTCAGGTTGTCAAAAATTAAGTTCTAATTTCGTGAAGAAGTTCACGGATTTATTTGACGTCAAATTCCTGTTTTAAACTTTTGAAATTTGGCCATGAACTATTGTCGATGTGAAGCATGTATAACAAATCCACGACTAGGAACAAGAAAAATAGGTTTCTGGTAAATAGTGTTCTACTGACTCACTTTTGAATATTTTTGTTTTCCTTTTGATATTCAAAAAGAGTAAACTATCGTAGACGTGCATTGATGCATGTATAGAAAGTCAATTGCGATAAGTGAATTAGACTTTATTACATTTATTCCTGATCCCTGAATGATAACAATGTATTTATAAATCTGGTAAAGAAAGAAAACGTCTGATGAAATTATCAAAGATCTTACATCAGGCCGTTTTCTTGTAAACACAACTATAAACAACGTCATCAGATTTTAATGGGGTGATTTTTCATGTGCCTTATCTCTGATAATATTGCATCAAGATTACACCAAGGTCACAGATTAACATAGTGGGGAATTCCGGTGCAAAGTCCTTTGCACTTCTACTCATCATGCTAGTCAAAGTTAAGTATCGCGAACTTGTAGAGCGTCTCGAGTACCATGAATATCACGGCTTGGTTCCCGGTACCAGGGGACCTCCTAGATTATATACGAGGGTGGTCCCAGAAGTACCCGGCCTGACCTAGAGATGGCGATAGTTGTTCGAAAAATATCATTGTATTAGAAAGTATGCAACCTATAAAGCATATGTGTCAAGTTTGAAGACGCCACGTTGTTTAGTATTCGTTTAATACTGAACGTTTTCAGTGAATTTGTGAAAATGGAGAAAATTGGTCATCGTGTTATGTGGTACAATACTTTTATTTCAAAGGCCTCAGCCCAACCAATATAAAAGCTCCACTGGATTCTACTCTGTGCGAGTCTGCTCCTTCGTTTACAACAGTAAAATATTGGGTAGCAGAGTTTAAACGGGGCCGGGGACGACTCCAGAAATGGTGAAGAAAATTGACAAAGTGGTACTGAATGATCGTCGACCGAAAGTGCGCGAGCTAGCAGACATAGTAGGCATTTCAAAAAGTGCGGTTCATCGCATATTATCTTAAAATTTGGACATGAGAAAGCTGTGTGCAAGATGAATGCCGCGATTGCTCAAAATCGAGCAAAAACAGTGTCGTGAAGATGTTTCAATTGAGTGTTTAGCGAAGTTTCACAGCAACGAAGCAGAATTTTTGCGTCGATGAAACATGGGTCCATCACTTCACACCCGAGACAATAGAACAATCAGAACAATGTACTCAAAAGGGACAACCGGCTCCAAAGAAGGCGAAGACCGTCTCATCTGCAGGCAAGGTTATGGCGTCGGTTTTTTGAGATGCGCGTGGGATAATTTTCATTGACTATCTTGAAAAAGGTAAAACTATCAA